TGAGGTTTCACCTTGTTGGTCAGGCTGGTCTTGAACTTCTGACCTCAGGTTATCCACTCACTTGTGCCTCCCAAAGTGCTGGGATTACAGGCGTGAGCTACCACGCCCGACCAAGTGTCCTATTACCTTTGGTTTCTGTGACCCCTCCCTGTGTTGTTTTTTTTCTCCTATACCTCCAATAATATTTTTTCATCTCCACTCACTTCTTTTGTCCTTGCTGTCATGAACATATGAATATTTACTAAGAATATGGTTTTTGTCTCCTTCTTATATTTCTCTTCATACTCTTACCTACTTCTATGTTATCAACCACCAACACATACATGAACTATTCCATCTGATGGCAAAAACTTTCCACTTCTTGAGTATTTTCACATGGAGTTTCTGAAATTGCTCTGTCCAAGATAATGGTCACTGACTACATGTGGCTATTGACCATTTGAAATGTATCAAATCTGAATTGAGATGCATTATAATTGTAAAATACATATTATTTTAAAGCATAGTATAAAACCTAATATATAATAGCTAATAATTTTTATATTAATTACATGTTACAATAACAATATTCTACATATGTTGGCTTATATAAAATATATTGTTAAGATTAATTTCACCTGCTTTTTTTTATGTTAAATTATAGTTTTATGTAAATTTTAATTTAAAACATCCAGGTGACTTCTGGAAAATTTTAAATTAAGATGGGTTCACATTATATTTTGATTGGACCGTGCTTTTTGAAAAATCCATAGTACTTTCCACATTCCCTGTTAATCCAGTGTCTCCATCTGATTTATTTTGGATGGAGCAGCAGCCCTTTTCCCATCCCCTTTGTGTTTAGTCCTGGGTCGTCTTTGATATTTCTGTCTCACAGCCCTTCTCCACCACATACTCTCATTTCAACCTTGTGTTATTTAACCAGTCAATCATCAAGTCTTAGATGTTTTTCCTTTAAACTTAAAACGACTCCATTTTAATTTTGGTTTCTGTTCTCACTGTTCTGTCCTAAACAGTTTTAGGAACTGAACCTCTCGACCTTAGACTTTCGGTTCCTTTAAACTATCCTATACATTGTTGCTAAGTAAACCTCATTAAACATAACCTCTCTCTACTAAAAAAATTTTAATTGTTCCTTATAGCTTACTAAAGTGCAAACCTTTTAATCATTGTTCAAAACTACTGATCTTTCCAATTTTATCTCTTGGAAACTATCTATAGCAGTCATACAGTTTCTTTTCCTTTCATTAGTCTTGAGTTTTCTCTAGTCTTCTTAGTTTTTCAAGTACTGCCACGTATGCCTACCTTTTCATCTCCATTTGTTGAAAGCAGCCTAGATGTTCTAACATAACTGTATTTTTTTCTCATAAATTTGGCCACAAATAGTCCTCCCATGTCTGAATTTTGATGGTACTTTATCTTTTATGGCACTTTCAACGTTTTAACTTGTTTGGCACTTTTCTGCTCATTGTTCATTTTCTACTTAAGAGGTTTTCTAAGAGCAGAAATCATAGTTTCGTTATATTTATAACCATCCCCAAGGGTTATCACGGTACCTACCATGACTGGTGCTCAAAATTGTTTGTTGGATAAATAAATGTGTGAGTAAATTAATGAATAATGATAGAGTCATGTCTTTCAAAAATTAAGGATTTCTTTTCTTTTTGGAAAATTGCCTCCCTGCAGCAGCAATAGCCCAAGATTTTAGCTAGTGCCTTGTGTTTTTTTCTCCCAACTTAATATGCAAATCATTGACTTAAAACAAGTGTTTCAGTTACTGATGAAAATGCTTAAGACAACAAAAACGGGGCATATTAAGAATCAGTGGAAGCTGCTACATCTGTATCTTTTTTAACACCATCTGTCTCCCAAGTTGCTAGATGAATCCAAATTCCATCCAAATTTTGCTGGTCTGCAACAGGAAAATGCTTCAATGGCAATTTTAGACAGATTGAACATATTTCAATTAGACAATTTAGTTGCAAGAGCATTGTCTTGGTGGATAACCCTCCAAGGATTATAATGAATACAGCTTAATTGGTTTATTAAGTAAAATTTATAAAATCCAGGAGCCTGAGTTTGAAAAGCTTATTAGTAATGTATGGATTTTGCATATAATAAATGTGATGAATTCCTGTTGTTGTGGAAGAATTGCTGATTGGTTGTACATGTTGAATGACTGTTCTGGCTGATTGAGAAGTAGCATCTGTAAACACAAGTATATTTTTAAAATAATTGTGACATAATAAATATACGCCTAGAACTAAAGCTATAGATTAAGCCTCAGTGTGATGCCTTATCAAGAAATCCTGGACTAGGAATAAGAATTTTAGGATTCTAGGCCTGAATACCTAAATTACAAAATATAATTAAATTATTTAGTCATTCAGCAAGGCTACCCAGAGTCATAAATATAATTATCATCACTGAGTCCTAAAAATTAAACCTTTCCATTTGCACATATTGGTTGATAGACAAAATAAGATCTGGCATTCACTCCTTGTATAATTATACCTGTATTTATACAATTTAATATTTAAGAATATCTGAAGTTAGTGGTAAAACATATGTTCTTAATGTTTGCTTGTTAAACCCACATACCTAACTCTATGAGATGCCACAGATGTGCCATAAAAAACAAAATTCATTTTGAGTTGGAAAAAGATTTTATATTATAGATTTCTAAATCCTTCATTAAACAAATGAGGGAAAGAGAAGGTTAGAAAAAGCAGGACAACCCTCATGAAGACAGTTCTCCAAAGTCAGACATCTAGATAGTTGGTCAATATGGGATCAAAACTTATGTTATCAGCTTCCCAGATGGCTACATAGGTGACTTTTATAAGTAACCAGCAAACTGTTGTTTCCAAAGACTGATACAGTGAGGAAAATCAATAGAGCTTCTAAGGGTGAAAAAGTGATTGGGAAGCTAAAGAAAAATGCAGAGAAATGCAGTCTAAAATTTTCCTGACTCCAACTATTTATACACAATTTAGCAAGAGATTAACCATGATTTCCAGAAAAATCTCTTTTGTTCCACTAAATAATTGTAGTCATCACAAGGTACACATATTTTTCTAACTTCTAACTTCTAACTTTATTCTTTAGTGTTATCACGGAACTGCAGTGTACCTTATGTTTCCATGGGGATAAAAGTAAATTAAGTTCAAATCAGTGTGTGCATTTTTAATATTCTATGTTTAAACCATTATTCTGAGCAGTCTGGGTGATAAAAATACAAAAATATTATTAATATATTTGCTAATAGTATACTTTATAAATTCCTTGTTGTGAACTGAATTATAAATTCCTTGTTATGAATTGAATTCTATCCTCCCTAAAGGTATGTTTAAGTCCTAATCCCTAGCACCTGTGAATGTGGCCTTATTTGGAAATAAGGTCTTTGCACGTACAATCAAGTTAAGGTGAGGTCATTAGGGTGGGCCCTAATCCAATAAGACTAGAGTCTCTATAAGAAGAGGACGTGGCATGTGATAACACAGACACATAGGGGAACACCACCTAATAACTGGCAGAGGTTGAAGTGACGCAGCTGCAACCCAAGGAATCCCAAGAATCTATGGGTACCCCCAGAAGTGAGGAAGAAGTAAGGAAGGATTTTGTCCAGAATTTCAGAGGGAGCATGACCAGGCTGACACTACCCCCAAAACTTCTAGTTCTCAGAACTGTAAGCGAATAAATTCCTGTTGTCTTAAGCTATCCAGTTTATGGTACTTTGTTATGGCAGCCCCAAGAAATTGACACTATTGTTCATAATTATCAAAATTTAAATCTCTCAGGGCCTTCCCCACTTTGAGCCTAGATATTCAAAAATTATACTAGAGAAGATGGTACATGCAGAGATAAAAGTCTCACAGGGAGGTGGCTTGGAGTCTGGTCAGATTTGGCATGGTTCCCGGTGGGAACTGTGGAAAGGGAGCTGAAATACTGACATAGATAAGTACAGCACTCTTGAAAAATTAACATTGATGCTAAAAAGAAATGGACTACATACTTCAAATTATTTCATTCATTTCCATAGCCCTAGAGAGAGAGAGAGGATGTGCCCATGTTTTATTACCTCTAAGTCTAAGAAAAAAGATAAAAACCAAACAATGTACGTCACTTACAGCAATAAGAATCTAATTGTCCCCATCTTGTTAGATCTTAAGAATGTTGGAGAGTAGACAACATAAATGGGGAAATAAAATCAATAATTACATCGGGAATATACAGCTCTACACTTTTAATATCACATGAATCTTTAGATTTATAAATATTTGTGAACAATTCCTGACAGCAGCAAATGAAATGTTAAGTCATAAAGCTCTGTGTATAAGAAGCTTACCTCTTACTGTTTCTTCTTGGTAAGTCGATTGAAGATAATTGGAGATTAATCATTGATCATATCAAGGAGAAAATCTTTGTGTGATGATAAACTCAGAGGTTTGTGTATTACCAAATGTTAAATAAGATCCTCTTTAATAGTAGTTATAACAGTAGAAACTCACATTTATTGTGTGTTTTGTATAAGCCAGAAACTACTTAGTGCTTATATGAAGTAATTTAAAAAATATATCCTCCGATACTTTGACAGATGATAAAGCAAATAAAGGGTAGTAAAGTAACTTGCCAAGAGTCACATGCCTTAGAAGTGGCTGAAATAAATTTCCTTAACAATGTTGCTCCATAGCTTTTGTACTAAACCACCATCTTCTTCTGCCTCCCAGGGCTATATGTTGTGTATGATAAATATTAAAATCACATGTAGTAGTTACTACTTTTCCTTATGTCTATTTTATCAAGTCAAATACTAATCTTCACATAAATAAAATGTCGTCTTCAAGAACCATAGGGTAAATGAGATTATTCTTTTTTTTTTTTTTTTTTGAAGCTTAAGCAAAATTTTTAATGGAGTAAGTCTAAAGATTTCATAGTTTTACATTTATAGAGCTTGATTTCCATTATTTATCTATCATTCTTAAAGCAAATGGTAAATCCCCTTTTCAAGGATCAAAGCTTTGCTATTATTGAGGTTATCATCAAAGTTTTACTGCAACTCCAAAACATAGGAATGTCCCGTACAACAGCAGCTAACACTTTGCTTTCTAAAGTGATTATTCTTAGTGCAGGGGTACTCATTTGCTTATGCCTGTTATTCAGCAAAATTACTGCCTATGACATCACATAATTGAAAAAATTGGAGTAAAGATTAAAGTTGTTTACATTTTTAGGGAAATCTCTCTTAAGACTGTCCAAAAGAAAATAATATATGATGCTATTTATCAAAAGGAAAAAAAAGAGAAACATCTTTCAAGGTCTTTCGTTCATTTCATCAATTAGGACACACAAGGCAGCATCTTTCTCTGTAATCTGATCTCTCCTACGACCTGAATTTTCTCTTTGTTGGTCATTCGGTCCAGTACAATTGTTGCTATCATCAGCATCCATTGGTTCAGTTTTTACTCTCATTCCTCCTCCTGAATGAGGTGAATCATCAGGCATGGAAGCCAAGCAATTCTGAATCATTTCAATTACTCGTTCCAGGTGCTTTTGAAACCCCTCAGCTGTTTAAAGCTGTTGATGTTTCTGGACTTCCATCTGAAGGTCTCTTTTACTTCGTGGGGTCTGTATTCATATGTAAGATGATGCACATGTACAAAAAGCTTAAGATCTTCTAGTTTCTCTTCTCGTTTTATACTCCCAGGACTCTTTATTAATATATCTAAAAGATCCAAGAAATTAATAAGGATAGACATATTAAGTTTTCTCAGTTCTTTCTTGTGATCAAACTGCATAAGATGAAGCCTTTTGATGCTCTGACTTTCCAAAGGGTGGGTGATAAGATCATCACATTGGAACTGATTGACAAACATCATATAACTGTCTTTTATTGGAGGGGGAGGCTTGGGAGCTAAGCCTTCTTGAATATTTTCATTCATATATTCTTTGATATATTGCATTGGTGGTGGTGAAAGTGTACTCACTTGCTGTGGTTCACCCATTGTGGAATATCAAGAAACAGCTCTGGCTTTACTCTGGTAGCCGCCTTTTGAGATCATTTTTAATCCACTTCATCTCAGCTTCCATCCTTTCTCACCATAAATTGTAGGTGACATCTACTGGTCTGCTCTGTGAGTCGTCCTCTGTACTTTATTTATAAAATCCATGAGTGTGGCTCTTACCATTGTAACATGACATTATCCTTTACTGCAATATAAACTTCTTCATATCTGGCAGGGTCAAGTCAGGATCACTATCAGCGCTTGCAGAGTGCTAGATAGAGTGCTGTGTGTGTGTGTGTGTGTGTGTGTCCTCTTATATTTTGTAAGCGAAAGAAGAAAAGATCTCAATCATTGATAAGTGAAAAGTAGTAAGATTACCTCATAGGGAATATTTCTGATTTGGAAGGAATAACTTCCCTCCACTTTATGCCTTGTAAATTCCATCATAGGTAAGAAAGACCTTATATTATCTGTCCTGACAATGTTACATAGATATTAAATGGATCAAACTCTAAATTGATTTATCAATAAATACGAGACAGTATTACCAATGGGTTGCTATTATCTTATGCTCTTTACTTAGTGTTTGTGCATATTTTATTGTATTTTCCAACTTCAGTCTGTCTTCCAAGCTCAATATTAAAACAGTTTTCACATGGTAACATTTCTCCTTACATTATTTACTTCCCTATTATGATTCACTTGTGAATGTATTAATAAACTTGAGATTTTCTAGGTAACCTATTTATTATTGTCCCAAAGAAGTGTTCATTTGAAAGTACTGTATCTATCTGCATGTCTTTTTCTTCCTTTTCATCCTTTCAAATAAAGTATACCTTCCCTTGAACTACAGGAGGTGGTAGCATGAGGGGAATAAATTGTCCCAGCAAAAGAAAAGGTTGGTTAGCACAGCTGGCATGCCTGAGAGTCAGTAATCATCTAGGACACCATTGAGCTAAGGCTTCTCCCACTGATCTTCCAAATAATACCTTTAAGCTGAGGACTGAGAATATCAGCATCTGTCAGTTCATTTACTAATTAAAATAAGTGTATCTCTATGTGGTTAAAAATACACAAAAATTTTTAATGTCATGTTCATAAAGGAGATAAATTTATAAATAAAAATAATCACACCATTATTTTCTAACTCTCCTAACTCAGCCTAGAAGTTGATTCCTTTTTTTTTCCCTCTTGATTTTACACTCCAAAATCCTAGGCAGGAAAGAAATAGGGATTATTTCCTGTGGAATCACTGATTTAAGTGACATTTGGTGCTCTTATGAGAGGTGTCTAAGAACATAAGATTTGCCTAAAGGTCTCGTGAATAATCATCAGGATTTCTCTTATCTAGCTATGGGTACGTATGGTAGTCCTCTGGAGAAATTAAATCACTTTTTCTCCCATTGTGCAGGAATGTATTGTGGAGCTTCTAACCTATTTAGCTCCTAGAAACCCCCATGTTAGAAGAGTACCTAAAGATTCTCAATTTCAGTGCCTCTGAAGACTTTGAAATGGAGCAATAAGAAGTTATTGCTAAAGGTGAACAGCAGAGGCACTTGCTTTTGTCAGGGAGAATGTTTTATTTAGAGGATTGCAAGTTTAAATTCTGCATTCTCCTTGTTTGTGTTTTGGCAATGATGCCCAGAAGTTCAGCTTTGCTCTTGTCATTTGAGGGATCAGAGAAGAGCACTGAATACTTTGTTGTAATTGTCATGATGAAGTTTCAAATCTATGAGTATTTTGAGATATCATGAAAGCCCTGCTGCTGTGATGATGTCAGTATATGAAAAGGAATCTATTGGAGGGCATGAAGGATTTCAATAAAGTGGGCAATGATTTTTGCATAAAGTCTAAATGGGCTTTTATTCTTTAACAGCCAAGTGCCTGTTAATACTAGATTTACCCATCATTTCAACAACTCATATTTCAATGAAAAATGCATGGGTCTTTAAACATCTAACACTGTCAGCTTAGCATTTATTGGCTATTTACTTTGTGTGAGGCTCCATGCTAAGCAATGTGGGAAAATAAAAAGATAAATAAGAGTCATGCTTTCAAGAAGCTACTATCTGTCTGAATTGTCAACCTCTCTGCCAAAGTTCCCCGCCTCCTCAGAACTTCTGAAAAGACCGTGCTGTGACTTCACAGGTAATATTAAAGTCAGGTAAATATAATTTGCCTTATTAATTTAGATTTTAAGAATGATCTTTGAAATAAGTAGAATTACCAGTAGTTATAACTAGATACCCTAAGTCATACCATAAACAATCTTTTATATGTAAATGCATTCCTTGAAACAAATTTTGCGCATTTACAAAACAATGACCAATGGTTTGGATATTGACCCTATGGTACCAATAAATCTTATAGTAGGTTCTAATAGACAAAAACCATGCAAAGTGATTCAAAATCTAAGAAAACAAATTTTGATTTGAAAAATGAAAACCCTAGCTCTGGCATATGCAGTTACTCTCAACTAATCAGAATACTTCACTAGACTGAATATTAAAATCTTGGAGTATGCCTGAAGGCAGCTTAATGTTTCTGCATACCTAATTATGTATGTGTATGCTTGCATTTGTTTATAAAGAGTTCATTGTTAGTACTTTTCTCAGCATGGATTCTGTTCAAATTAACAAAATAAAGATTTTGGTTTTACTTTCCATTATTCCAGTGTCTAAAAATTTAAGCCAGAAAGAAGAGATGTGACAGTCAATTTACTTACAGATGCTGATCATGTAGCCTACTTTCTTTTCTGTTTCTGTCTTCTAATCCTCTTCATAATCTGTCAGATAATCTCATAATTATTCAAACAGTTCTGGTACTCCACAAAGAGCACAATAAAGACTAGCACACCATGCTTCAGCAGTTCTATAGTCATTTATTATCAAGATTAGAAATTCTCAAGAAAATCATGTTGTAACTAATTCTACTTTGAGGATTCAGTAAACGGAGAGGATGAGATAGAAAAAGGACAATCGCACTTTTAAAAACTCTTTATGATTTTCATTATTCAAGTAACAGTAAAGACGGTAGCGCATAAGGAAGGAATATACTATCTACACATTTTTAAAGAAAACATACATAATTACCTCTTAGCTCTACTTAAGAGTTAAACTTGAGGGCAACGACTTTTTCTGTCTAGAATCTCCATATGGCTACAAAAATGTGTGCATAATGTAAATATAATAGAACGTATTTACTAATGTTACTATAATAAAATATCTCATCAATAATTATGGATGTTAAACTCAGCTTTACCATTATTATAGCAAGAGCACAATGCCATCTTTATTTTTATTTTAGCCATGATGTTAGACCAACAAATGAGTTTGCCCTCAGGATATTTCAAAATCAATTTTGTTTTCCCTCAGGAAGTCTTAATAAATCAGTAGTGTTGTTAAATATCTGCATATTTTTTCAGAACATAACTTTGTTGAGATGTTTCTTAGAGCAATGCCGTCAGTGAGATGCAGTTGAAAGAGCCATAGATTTGGATGGAAATGCCCTGGGTTCAAGTTTTAGACCTCTTAATAACTACAACTTTAGTAATGTATTAATTTATCTGAGTAGTAGACTCATTTTCCTGAGCACAGTGGTATTATTTCTTTCTTACAGTGCTTTAATAATAGCCTATGTCAAAATCACTTTGTAAACTGAAATGCACTGCATGCTTGTACATTATTGTAACAAATATATGTTTTGTGTGTGTATGGTGGTAAAAGAGTTGCACTGGACACCTAAAATGACAAGGAAAACTATTTAAGACTATTGCAATAGGGGTCAAGATTATTGCAATTGGGAAGAGGTTTAATTCAACTCTGCAGAAACAAAAGGTGGGAGGATTTTTTTTTAAATTTTATTGCATTTTAGGTTTTGGGGTACATATGAAGAACATGCAAGGTTGTTGCATAGACACACACGTGGCAGTGTGATCTGCTGCCTTCCTCCCCATCACCCACATCTAGCACTTCTCCCCATGCTAACTCTCCCCAACTCCCCTCCCACCGCTGTCCCTCCCCTATTTCCCCCCAACTGACCCCAGTGTGTAGTGCTCCCCTCCCTGTGTCCATGTGTTCTCATTGTTCAACACCCGCCTATGAGTGAGAACATGCGGTGTTTGATCTTCTGTTCTTGTGTCAGTTTGCTGAGAATGATGGTTTCCAGGTTCATCTATGTCCCTACAAAGGACACGAACTCATCGTTTTTTATGGCTGCATAAGGATTTTAAACTCTAGTTGAGCTAATGGAAAAGTACTGGAGTGTATTAGGAGAGAGATTGGTCAGTGTGATTAGGCCATCTGTGTTCCCTAATTGTTGCTTATTGAAGTTACATTCCCACATTCCCCACAGAGATTGGGAAATCGAGGCCCCATCGTTTTTATTTTGCGATGGAGTCGTACTCTGTCACCGAGGCTGGAGTGCAGTGGCACAATCTCGGCTCACTGCAACGTCTGCCGCCCAGGTTCAAGCGATTCTCCTGCCTCAGCCTCCTGAATAGCTGGGATTTCAGGTGCCCACCACCAAACCCGGTTAATTTTTGGATTTTTGCGGTTTTACTATGTTGGCCAGGCTGTTCTCGAACTCCTGACCTCAGATGATTTGCTCGCTTTGGCCTTCCAAAGTGCTGGAATTAGAGGTGAGTCACTGTGCCTGGCCTGCCCCATCTTTCTTGATGATTGCATTTCAAAGGCAAGAGGATGGGAGAAGATTTACATATTAAGGAGGCAGAAGCAGAGAAATACTTTACAGTGGCAAGTGTTCTAAAGTGAATGCTCTATAAAGGAACTTTGGTGGCCTATAGTCAGAAAGAAGCCTGTCTAAAGTTCAGTCAATCTAAGGATGCCTTGGTCAATGTGTGTCAAGATGGTGAAACTCTATAGGGAAAAACAAACAGCTAAATTTGTAGTCACAAATCTACCTTATTTTCCTCTTTTTATTCCCTGCTGACTGACATTCAGCCATCGTTGCTACTATATGCTGAAATTACTACTATATGC